TCTCTCTCTCTCTCTCTCTCTCTCTCTCTCTCTCTTTCTTTCTTCTTCTCTTTCTCTCTCTCCTTCTCTCTCTCTTCTCTCTCTCTCTCTCTCTCTCTCTCTCCTCTCTCTCTCTCTCTCTCTCTCTCTCACTCTTCTCTCTCTCTCTCTCTCTCTCTCTCTCTCTCTCTCTCTCTCTCTCTATATATATATATATATATATATATATATATATATATATATATATATACACACACACACACACACACATATGCATATACACATACACACCGGGAAGACAGGCAGATAAACAGGCAGACAGATGGACAGACAGACAGATAGACGTATAGACAGAGAGAGAGAGAGAGGTGGGGAGGGAGGAGGAGTGAAAGGAGGGGTGAAAGGAGAGGAGGTAGGGGAGCGAAGAAAGGGAGCGGAGGGAGAGAGGGAAGAAAGGAGGGGAGGGAGGAGAGAGAGAGAGAGAGAGAGAGACAGAGAAAGAGAGAGAGTTTTCTAAACAGCAATACCCAACATACATTTACACATACGACAGTTGGTTAAAAGAGTCTCCCAATGAATATTCACATATACGAACATGCATATAAACAATTCTATTTCTACGTATATGCATGTCCGTATAATGAATATTCATTGTATCGGGCCTCGCACAATCTTAACCGATATAGCAGAATGATACAACAACATCAAACCTTTTTAACAAGACATAACGCAATATTTCCTGTATCGCAAGCCTCCAATAACAACGTATAAAAATCCTCATTATAACGAAGATTTATCCAGAAACCCAGCCAGGGCGGAGACGAGAATAGAAATCCAAGCACAGGTTTGTTACATGTTCCGGTCACGCTAGGACAGGGCTTGCCAAGACGGTTTTGGTTTTGGAAACAGAATATGATGTGGAATGATGTAACGCGAGCTGTAACCTGCCGTTGTATGATGTTGCTTTTGATGTTACTTCGGTTTAAATGTTTATTGTGTAGCCTGCCATTGAATATGATATTTTTTATGTTACAAATGTTTATTGTGTAGCCTGCCGTTGTATGATAATTTTTGATGTTACTTCGGTTTAAATGTTTATTGTGTAGCCGTTGTATGAATTTTGATGTTATTTCGGTTTAAATGTTTATTGTGTAACCTGCCGTTGTATGATGTTCATTTTGATGTTACTTCGGTTTAAATGTTTATTGTGTAACCTGCCGTTGTATGATGATGTTACTTCGGTCTGCCGTTGTATGATGTTTACTTTGATTGTGTAACCTGCTTGTATGATACTTCGGTTTAAATGTTTATTGTGTAACCTGCCGTTGTATGATGTTACTTCTGATGTTACTTCGGTTTAAATGTTTATTGTGACTGCATTACTCATTATTACGGTGTTAACTACGAATGTTACTATTATCACTGGCTAAAAATAATGGTGAAAATAATGTGAGGGTTATAGGAGTTAAATCCTCGTTGTCTTTGTTATGAATGGGATTATTGTTGTTAGAATATAGTTACTGTCACCGTTATGTCACGCTTGCATTAGGCCGATAATCATAATCCTCACGTAAGCATTATGTTCATTATTCTAATTTTCGTTCTATGATTACAGGATTTCTTTTACTATTAATTAATTATTTCGTTATTACTAGAAACTTCTTTGACAATGATTGATTGAAGAGTTTTAGAATCCTTAACACGAGATAATTAATTGTCATAATTAATAATACAATCAACAGTAAAATACAGTCTGTCTGTGTATATCTGTGTTAACATAAATATCAATACGAGTATGTTGTGTGCGTAAGTTCGTGTGTGAGTATCTATTTCTGTACGTGTGTGCGTGCATGTGTCTGCATCTGTATGTGTGTGAGCGTGTGTGTCCGTACCTGTATGTGTGTGCATATCTGTATGTGCGTGCATGTGTGTGCGTCCATATCTGTATGTATGTGTGTATCCGTATCTGTGTGTGCGTGTGTGTGTCCGTATCTGTATGTGTGTGTGTATCTGTGTGTGTGTGTGCATGCATGTGCGTCCATATCTGTATGTGTGTGCATGTATGTGTGTCCATATCTGTATGTGTGTGTATCCGTATCTGTGTATGCGTGTGTGTCCGTATCTGTATGTGTGTGCGTATCTGTGTGTGTATGCATGTATGTGCGTCCATATCTATATGTGTGTTTGTATCCGTATCTGTGTGTGCGTGTGTGTGTCCGTATCTGTATGTGTGTGTGTATCTGTATATGTGTGCATGCATGTGCGTCCATATCTGTATGTGTGTGTATCCGTATCTATGTGTGCGTGTGTGTGTCTGTATCTGTATGTGTGCGTATCTGTATATGTGTGCGTATCTGTATATGTGTGCGTATCTGTACATGTGTGCGTATCTGCATGTGTATACATGTATGTGCGTGTGCGTATCCACGTACCTTAGCCTTTTCTGGCGTCACGGGCGACCCTCCCACGACAGGCAGCTTCTGGAGACAAGTCCTGGAGTTGGTCGGGTACAGCACGCGCT